ACAACCAGCAAGAATTGATTTTCCTTACGAGTAAGAAGCACGTAAAGTAATCCCAAAATCAACAAAATGTGTATCGTGTGAGAAAGAATTACCGAGCTATCAATGACTTCAACAACATTGCAGAAAACAAATGGCTTGAAAACGAGTGATTCTTTTGCTGTTTTGAATAAAATCGTGGAAAACGAGGAGGATTGTGATCAGCTACGACACTTCTTGACAGATATCGAGATGGAAAACAGGCACCACAAGGTATTCAACTTTCAACTCTGCAAACAAGAAGCTAATCTAGTTAACAAAAAAACAGGATAAAGTCTTTGAAACACTTGGTTGTGCAGCAAACATCAAAATTGCTTTGAATTTGTGTTACTTAATATAAAAGCCTGTTAAAATCTTTGTTTCAACTTTCAGGAAAAAAAAACTTTGTGATAAATCTATGCTGCTTTGGGCTTTGTACTAAAGCAGACTTGACGACTATTCAGAACAAGGCCAAGGAGCAAGATTTTCGGTACAAAAGAGAGTCGAAATACTAAATGGCAATTCAAATTGATCAGAAATGTGACCATTTTTGCCGCCTTACTCAAAAACGTACCCAAGTGATGTCCAGATTCAGTGATTCCCGAACCACTTCAGAAGAGTCACCATGTTAATTGTTTGATTTTGGATCAAAACGCAAAACAACCATACAATGCCAGTTTTTGTTTGTTTCGAGCGCTTACAGTTCTTTTGGATGGAACAATTAGTCTTAAAACATCCACCTTCAAGATCCTAAATGAAATTCTTGAAAAATCTGTATGTGATCACAAACTGTTTCGTTGAGTTTCGATGGATAATCTGCCAATAGTTGAAGATGTAATAGAGAAAAACACTTTCATCTAGGATATAGACATTGAAGTTGGAGTCTTCGTAGGATAATTAGCTCATCAGAATATCGGTAAATACGAGAATACAGAGAAGCTTCTACGATACATCTACCACATTATTTATGTTCATAAAACCGATAACTTCCTCAATTTTTTACGCTGTCCAACTTGCGACACATTTTTCACAATGTGTCATCACTTGATAAACTCAGGTTATAAAGATCCACAATTCCTCATTCCTGAATTTGCTGCAAACTTGGAATTGTTGAAGGAAAAAACGTCGAAATGCGATCAAAGTTTTTGGAAATTGAAAGCAACATTTAAAAATGGATACATCCAATTTTCAGCCTTCACAACGAACGACGAAACTTCAAAAAAAGTGAAACAAGTGAGTGTGAAGACGAATGTATCGAGGACGAGGAAGAAACAGACGCATCGACTCACTTTCTCAGGTTTGAAAAAAACCAATTGATTGACTTGATGCAACATGTAGAGAAATACATTAATACTCCACCATTATTTGGATTCAACGGTGGCCGGTATGATATAAACCTCATTAAGTTAGACCTCAATTCAATCTTCAGTCATCAAGAAAGCCAACGATTTTAATTCCTTCAAATTTGGAGACATTCAACTTCTGGACATTGTGAATTTTTTGGGTGGAGCTACTTTTTAGTCTCTTTTCTAAAAGCTTAGAAAGCCGGTAAGATGAAATAATTTATGCCATACGAGAGGTTTGATACTCCCAAAAGCTTGATGAACACCAACTACCCTCGTATGATGACTTTTACAGCAAACTGAGAATAGCAACCCTGTCGATAAAGAGTTTGATGATAATCAAAAACTTCTCAACACTGCGATAACTGAAAAGTCAGCAATAAAAAAATTTCGGTTGAAAAGCAAACCACCCCAGGGACTGAAAAACTACAACTATCTGAAATTTATCTGGGAACAGGAAACGATGTCAGCATTCCGCAGTTTTCTACAGTGATATAACAAAAAAGATTTCGTTCCTACCCTTCAAGTTATGCGGAAAATGATTGAACTTTAGCAGGTCAAAGGGATAGACATGCTATAAGTTCAGCTGCACAATGCCGAATCAAGCGAACATCTGTCCACACAAGTCAACCTACTATAAATTTTACCCATTCTTTTCGTGCGATAAGGAATTGCTTGAAAAGGCAGCAAGATATCACCGGTGGACCCTCTGTTTTTTCACAAGGAAAGCAGTAATAAACGAGGCGTTAATCAAAAACTAAACAACCTGTGTATATCAATCATTGCGATTGATGCCAGTCAACTCTATCGTTATTCCATGGGTCAGGATATTCCCATAGGCTTGCATTTGAGATAGGGACAAAAATGAAGAAATAAAAAAAATTAGGGCAAGGCAAAATCGAATTTGTACGTTTAAAAATAGAATCATGTCTTTTTTTCAAGCATCCAGACCTCCAGGCAAACTTGAGAATTACTGCACTACGGGATAACAGAATAGAATGATTGCTTCAGTGTTGATGGTTATTGCAACCTTTGTTTATGTAGCACTGGGTTGTTATTTCCACTTTTGTCCATGTCAGGAAGCTACACCAAGCCTAACTGATGATGACATCAAAAGAAGAGCCATGAAAAGAGAAATGAACGAGCTTCGAAAAGATTACATTCGAGAAAAAGGATACTCCTTTGAAGAAATGGGGGAGTGTAGTTGTTGGGATCAATTTAAAAACAATCTCAACGTAAAAAATCATGTTAGAGAAAACTTTCCCTTCAAAAGACTTCTAACTTCCAATTAACTACTGCAAAAAATTAGAAATGACAAAAAATTTGAATGCATGCAATGTGATCTGAGTATTCCAGATAATAAAAGCAAAGTTCTCCAACTTCCCTCCTATTTTCAAAAATATTGATGTTACCAGAAACAACATTGGGGAATATATGATGACATATTCGGATAAAACTATTTCTTAAAACAACCGCAACGAATGTTGATATCGAGCTTCAAATTAACCAGCGGAATTTTTTTATTACCACTTTTTAATTTTTACTTCTTTAATTTTTACAATCTTGAACTAAAGTGTACTAAAATTCATCGATTTGTACGATACACACCGCTTAAAGTATTCAAGAGTTTCATTCATCCTGTTGTTGATGCTAGGCCACTCGATGATGAAAATTCATTATATGGTGTGTTAGCAGAAACGATGATTTTGCTAGGAAACAGTTGCTACGATTACCAAACATTGGACATATCACAAAAAAAAACAAAAACAAAATATACTGGAGTCGAGAAAACCCATAAAGCTATTAATAACAGTTCACCAAGAGACTCAATATCGTAGCTAAAGTTTTGTAAGAAGTGGTGCTTGTTAAGTCTACTATAGAGCATCGTGGACCAAATTTAGTAGGATTCTTTATACAACAGTATGTCAAGTTGAGAATGTTGGAGCTGTATTATAAATTTTTCTATCAATTTTGCGACGTCAACAAATTTGAAGAACTCGAAGCGAATACAGATTCCCCCTCTTTGGCTTTGGCAGATGACGATTTAGTTGAATGTATCGTTCCCAGCAAGCGAATAGAAAAAAATTAACAGCAAATCAAAGACTGACGATTTCAGAGCAGATGCGAAAAACAACTTTTTCCTCCTTACTTGCTGCGCTAAACATATGAAACATGACAAGAGAGAACCAGGATTGTTCATGGATGAGTTGAAATGCTCACAAATTAGGTGCCTGTGTAATAAAACTTTTGAATAATGAATAAAAATTTAGCAGTAAAGTATTGGGCTCTTTTTCCTTTTCCCCCCACCTCACTCAAATATGATCTTTATGCTCTAACGAGTGATTTGACAAGGTTATTTATGAAGACCAAATATGTTTGTCATAGCCTATTAAGTCTGCATGTCAATTTTCAAAGGGAGGGAAAAAGAGCCAAGTATTGTGAACAAACGTGCATTGAAACACTCTGGAGATGGCCCGATGGCAAAGTATCGACAAGTACTGGACAAGGCAGTGAGTTTGATGTCAACTAATAGAGGATTTAAAACTATGCAGTTGCCACTTTTTAAAGAAAAAAAAACAGCTATTTTTACCCTAAACGGGAAGCTGAATTTGATGGAATGCAAACTAAACCTCTAATTTGTAAGAGTTTATGTTGTAAAATTGTAAATGATACTGTAAATTTGTACATGTTCTCTTTGACTTAATTTTTTTGAACAAATTGTTTGCGTTTAGGTTGACAATTTATTGTCTTTTGATTAAGAAAACGTTTAGAATCTCAACCATCGGCATAATCGGGAGCCAAAAATTTTTTCTCGAAATTTACTATTTTACCATCTGAAACCTATAACTTAAAACCAATGATAGTTACCAATTAGTTAACCCGCGCCGAGATTTTTGCGAAGAAACTAGACATTTCTACACAATATCCACAAAAATACCGTTTTTCTTACCATTCTCTTACCATCACACTGACACCTTACCAGTTCTATTCAATATCTCAATACATTGGGAAACATTTTCCCTATCTTAATACAATGTATTTCTATTACTAATCCTTATACATAGGGAAATCTATTTACTACCCTAATACATGGGAAATTCGGGCGCCGAAAAGAACTTACCATTTGAAACTTGGTATCTTAGTACATTGAGAAACCTATTCCCTATCTTAATACTTTGGTAAATCTATTCCCTATTTAATACATATAGTGAAGACCGGATAGCCGACAGCCCCCCGGATAAAACTACCCCACATATACTACTATTAATTTAAATCCCGGACCAAGGGTGTGGTCTTATGATCAGACTGTTTTTTGGACTACATTAGATAATTTTAGATAGCCAAGAGTAAAGTTCTTGCAGACCGATTAGCAGGTGCCGATTTGGTGCGGGTTGGTCTGTATGTGTTACAGTCCCCCAGAGTTTTGACCACCTGCCGACCCAAAGGCTGACCTAAAGTTTTAACCCTTGGTACCGCGTTAAGACAATTTTTTTTGGCTGATTGATTTTGCTACATCGCTCATTAACAGTTGGGGAAAATATTAGTGTTACAGCGCTAGATTTTAATCCGTGGACAATCTTAAACTGCATATGAATGTACATGAATACGTTTTATTACAGTTTCTTGGACTTCTTTAATTAGGAATTACGACTATACAGAGGCAATGGCGGACAACGAGACCGATAATGCGGAGAACCCCTATAACGAGTACAGGGCTGCAGGTAATTCTGAAGAACCATCCGTGGTTTGCAACCCAGTGATGATCAGCGGCATAGAGAGCCACTATGAGATGAGGGAACCCACATTGGACTAGTGCCATTGAAACAACAATGCGTAGAACTGGGGAACTTGGGTTCAGATTACATTAATCAAAAATCTGATGCTGACACACTGTAGCTTTGATGGAATGAGTAGCTCAAATTTGTCACAAACAAATTTTTTAGTTTCGATTTTCAAAATTAAATACCAAAATTACATACAAACTTGTATTACTAAAAATTTGTATAATTGTATAATACAACTAGTTAAGATAAAATTACAAATATGTTTTTCTTTCAAAGCTTTGGTAGAGCACATTTTTGTAGAGAGGTTCGTTTATTTTGTGTTCGTTTCAAATTCGTTTCACTTCGAAATCATTGTTCGAAACAGTTTTCAGACTCCAAATGTAGACACCATAGCAATTCTTTCACCATAGCAGTGCATAAACAACGAACTGACAAAATTTACGATAAATTAAAATAGAAAAGTCACCAAAAGCTTTGTTTTTTGTTGGAGCTGATGTTTTTATGGATCTAAGAGTAGCAAAAACTAAATGAAATAGCAACAGATTGCCATCTCAACGAACGAAATGAAGGACGCCGACCAGGGGCGGATCTAGAGTTTTTTCGAGGGGGGCTGATTTTCGAGGGGGGCTGAAAAAAACTTCAAAAACTTTGTCGACCTTTGTTTAGTCGAACAATTTGATATCTGAGGTTTCAAAAATCACTATAAAAATGGCGTTTCTAGGCACTTTTTGGAAAGTTTCGACCAAAAAAAAATGAGTTTTTTCGTCGCTCGCTCCCCCCCCCCCCCCCCCCCCTCAAAATTAGTATGATTTGGTGTCAAAGGTGCCTTTAGAAAAGTTTTGGGGTCAGTCAGTCAAAAATGGATATCTCAAAATAGTACAAAAAGGAACTCACCATCCCGCCCGCACCGCCCCCCCCCAAAAAAAAATCCGCTGGTGACTACAACTCCAATGGAAGTTTCGAGATCACTGTAACTCATAAACAGAGGATATCAAGACTAGTAATGTGCTCATCATTTTACAATACAAATTGTTAAACTTAATTAAAAGCTGAGGCTATTATGAGGCAAATTCGATCCTTAAAGGGCGCAAATTTTAAAGCAGAATTTTTGGTTTTGGCAGTCTAAAAATTATATTCCATGAAATTGCTCGAGACCAGTTAAAATGTGTCCCAACATTCAGGGATTTGTCTTGTTAATAGGACATCGAAATAAAATTTTTCAATTAAAAATTGTTCTGTACCTGATACCGTTTGTCATAGTGTTTCTATTGAAATTGTCCCGCAATTTTGCTTGTGCCAAGTCAATAATCCCATTCTGAAACTTGTTCGAAAAAAATCGGATGCAAGATTTTTGACCTTAATTACCTATGTCATCGCAAAGCTTAGCATTAACAGTTTTTTTGCAGAATCACTGCCCAGCTGACAGCTGAATTTTTGATTTTGGCAGTCTAAAAATTATGTTCCATGAAATTACTCGAGACCAGTTAAAATCTGCCAGAACATTCAGTGGTTTGTCCATTTAATTCCATCTCAGGACCATCCTTGAAGCCATCACTAGAGCCAGGCCTGGCCTGGGAAAAAACAGTTCAAAGTCTTGCAAGGTTTACCAAGGTTGCCAACAAAACTGGCTGAAAGCTTTAAAAAAATGGTATCTATTGAAAAACGTATCAATTGACGTATCGAAAAACAGGTTCGAAGTTATACAAGTTTGCATCTAGTAGGAGCTGTAAACATTACTCAAACCTAAAAAAAAGGTATTCGGATTCATGCTTTATCAAAAGTAAAATAGTAAAAACAAAATTTCAATAACTTCAAAAGTCAACTTTCGCTTTGAAAGCAAAAAAAAACATGGATTTTCCAACTGCTTATGAATATAATCAGGGAACATGTAATGAGTGTTTAACTAGAACATCTTCCAAGTAAAAGCCGACTGTTGCCAAATTTATTTAAAAATCAAAAAACTAACACGGCTTGTCACTACTTTCACTCAGATTTTAATAAACTAAATAACTTTGAACTAAGGGCAATCATTTTTATAGATTATTCCGTAAATTTTTAATACATTTCACTGTTTCGAAATTTTAATATTGCCACCAAATCTGTAAGTTGGTACAAGTTATTGGTCTAGTTAAAAGTTAATATTTTGTGGTTAAATCAATTCTTGTGTCAAATCGGTAAGCATGTATGTCAACAAGAATGCAATATTTGCTTGAATTATTTATTAACTTCGAGAAACTGGTTCATTGAAACAGAATTTTGTTTTTGCAAACTAAACATTTGATGAAATCTCCTCCTTGGAGAAATGCAACGTCGAAGAGATCAATTTGAAATGTCAACCGAGCCAACGTGATTTTGCTAATTGAATCGCATGTAATTAGGCGATTTACATGTCTCCTAATCTTTTGGATTTCGGTTTAGAATTTATAATATTGAGAGCAAAGTTCCAAGTTATGTTTGTTGATCAAAGTTTTTTAAACTGTGTTTAGAAAACACAACCTTGTACAGATTATTGTAAAATTTGGAAGTAAAGAGTGAATGAAACAGTTTTTGGTTTGTAGGACAATCTTTTAGTAGTTTTTTTTTATTCGTATTTTTCAATGGCTATTGAACATTTTGAAGGCGTTTTGGTTAGTTAGATTTGTTTTTAATGTCAGTGTCAGGGTGTATATGATCTGGAGCTCTTCGTTTTTTTGTCTGTTTGAATTTTTTTGAATGCAAAATCAAAAACCACAAATGATCACTAGATTGTTTGGTGAATAAACTACTTCAAGGTTCTGGTGTGAAGAAAATTAAAAAACTTAAAAAAACAAATCAGTGGCCAAAAAAACGGGAACGGGTTCGAGTTTTTTGCTTTTCAATATGACCTCGTGGAAACGAGAATTGATTATCTAAGCAGTAAGAAAACTATTTGAAACAAATTCAGTTAAGAATTATAGAAACATTTCGCAAAAAAACAAAGAGGCAAATTTGAAGTATCAAGTGACTCAAGTGACTTTAATGTGATTTTTAAAATTGAATCGCATGTAAATAGGCAGATTCTCATTACTCTTACTCTTTTTGGTTTTGCTTTTGGTTTTATTTTGGTTTTATTATCAAAATATGCCGGGGGAAGACCTGAGACACGCAAAAACGTGCGTTTCAGGGCCTGAAACGCACGTTTATGCATGTCTCAGGTCTTCCCCCACCATATTTTGATAATAAAACCAATTTATAAATTTTTGGTTTTATCTAGTTTTCATCTAGTATTAGTTTTTGAAATTCTAGTGATGATTTTGAAGAAGTTTGAATTTTTTTCGATCAGTTCGAAACTCGTTTCGAACTTTTATCAGACTTTTTTTCACTGCTGTCAAATTCAATGAACCTTTGTTTCCGAAAAAACTGTGCAGCAATGCTGAAATGATTTTTTTTGTTAACTGTAAAGAAGGATTGGTACGTTTGTTCTTTAAAGTTGTTACCTTGAAGAAAGTTTTGAAAGCATATGAAGTGGAAAACGCAAGTAGTAGTAGAGCAAAACAGTTGCTAAAACATCCATTAAAACCTCCTTTTCCAAACTCAACCAAACATTTCTGGATGCGCTCTATAAAAATTCAACTCAGAACTGAATTCCATGTAAAAATGTATAAGACAGATTTAATGATTTAGTGGTAAAAGCACCATTATAGGATTAATAATTTCGAGTTTATTGACCTATTTTAAGGATAGAAACGAGTAAATAAAAACTTTCAACTGCTTTCGTCGCATTGAGGTAGGTGTTGATTAGTGTGAATACTAATTGTTTTCCTAGCATATCACGCACAAAAAATCGCTCAAAGATGATTAAAAAAACCAGCTTATTTTGCTACTTGCATAGGACCGACTCTTCTTACGATTTTTTGTGCGATTTGTTTTGATCAATTCTTTCGTTTTTGTTCGATTCGAAAGTAACAGAAAATTTGTGCTCGGCGTGGGATTTTTTTTCTTCAGACAAATTTCGACTTTTTACCTAGCCTTTTTAAACAGAATTTTTGATATCATTTGAAAAGTATTGTTGTCCTGAGCACAAACTTGAAAAAATATTTCACCTGTGATCTTTTTTTGTTAAGTTATGGGGGTTTAAAGGTTGCCATTTTGGCCAATTTGGGACAATGATATATTTCGCGCTATTAACGCGTAAGCGGAGAATTAATCCGTCTTTTAAATCAATCAAAATTGGTCGAAAGAAGCTTAATTGCCTTAATTGATTTGTTACAAGGAGCGAAATCTATGCTTTTGTATTTTATATGGCGTGTGGGGTGATAATTTTTGTTTAAAATTTCAATTTGAGGAAAAAAAAATTTCTCTTTTTTTTATTTCATTAAAATTTTTATTTTTATTACTGCTCCAGAAACCTTAAAAGGCAGCCGGTACATTCAGGGCTTCGCCCTGATACGAGCAGTGTTGTTCTAATATATGATTCAAACTGCGAGAAGCTTCTGAAGTACACATCTGGAAATAATCAGGACGGCCATTTATAATAAAATATAGGACACCCGTTTAACACAGAAAAGCGTTGAAAATGTGTCCTATTCTATAATGAGTAAAGAATTTTGCTCTCATAGAGAAAAAAAATTCTACAAAATGAAAAAAGCAAAAAACAACTGTCATAACAGCGGCTTAAGAGTCAAAAGCAGATCAGTATCAATATAATATTGAAAAATATTCTTTTTTACCCCCTGAACTTGTGAGCATTCTAATTGGCTTTTTTTATCTTCCAGCATTTTTTGAACAATTGAATGATGTGTTGGCTCACCATGGAGCCCGGATAACCGAAAAATAAAATATTTCCAGGATGGACGAAAAAAGCTGCCGGGAATAACAAAAAGTGTTCTTCCCGATCCCGATGCCGAACTTTTTAGTGGGCTAATCTATGTTGTGTTATCCCAAAAGACTTTAAATAATGTATTTCAGCAAAGTAATTCGACTAAATTGGCACTTAACCGAGATTTTTTGTACATTTTGATTGGTGCGTGCTCCCTCTCAACCCAGTTGTTTAACAGCTGGTCACTTTCTAGAAAGCCGGTTTTCTAAATGAACAGTTTTTGATGAAATTTATTCGGTTAAGTGAAAAAAATATATGTTTCTTTTCAGAAACGATTAATTGCGTAAAACCAAATTAAA